GTCATCCACTAACTCAACAGGAGACAAGGATGGTCATTGAATCTTTGACATAGCTCTAGTAATTACACTGAAAGGAAATAAAATAGGTTTCTCTCTACAAGCTTCAATGGCATAATTATCATCAGTGTTATTATTAATCACAAGTGGTTCTTTACATATACCAGCATGAAGGATATCGTTCCCTATCAACAAGTCCACTGACCTGATGGGAAATACACCACTGGATATACCCACTGAAATATAACCAGTATAATAGCTTGTTTGAATGTATATTTTGTGAAGAGGTACTTTTATAACAGCCCCTCCATAGGCTTCTAACAATACATCTATCTTGCAATAGGTATCATCAGTTATGGGCAGTACATCTTATCTTAATAACGTGAGATAACTGCCAGTGTCTCTGAAAGTAATTATCTCAGTTAGATGTGATTCGTCAAATCCTACTTTACCTCTCGAAAAGTAAGGACTCATTGCTGAACGAATCGTTTCGTCAGATACACTTTCTGACGCTAGTCATCTGTTCTGAGTAATATTATCCAAGACAGTAGGATCAGAGGTATTACTAGGATTTTAGTGCCTTTGTTGCTCGGAAGAGGATACGACTTGAGTGGGGGCGCCAGCCGCACGACTGCTTCTTGTATCTCTTTCTAACTTATAGCAATACTCTCTAGCATGTCCTTTTCTGTTACAATATGTACATTTTACTTTTTTCTTCTCGATATCAGATTTCTGTCTAGCCACAGAGACAGATTCAGGATTGTGAGTTTTCCTGGTAAAGGTACGAGAAGTTACAGTAGCAGGTACATCAGGCCGGCACTGAGCAGCTGATTTAGGTTGCCAACTTCTAGGACAATTTTTAGTTACCTTGTTTCTTTGTGTTTTAGTACGTACAAGTTTGTGAGAAATTTCATAATTGTCTGCTAATGCTGCAGTTTCCAGAATATCTGAGGTAGTATGATCGATCAGATATTCTTGTATGTCAGCAGACATACAGTTGTTAAACTCTTCATGTAGTAACAACTGAACAAGACTGTCATAGTTGTTACACTTGGCAGACCTACACCACCTCTCAAATGCAACTTTTTTCTCACGAGCAAACTCTACACAAGTTTGATCTTGTCTTCGTTGTAACGTACGAAATGCGTTTTGATAACTTAGAGATAACAAGTTATATGTCTCTAGAATAGTTTGCTTGACAGCGTCATAACTAATGTACTTGGCAAATGGTAAAGCAGCAGTACAAGTTTGAGCTCTTCCTGTCAAAGCTGTGTGCAACAAGGTAGCCCAGTGCTTACGTAGCCAGTTCATAGCACGTGCCTGGTTCTCAAACACATCAAAATAGGTGTCTAAGTCACTCTCAAAAAACTTAGGAACCATGGATGCAGCTTTCTGCACATTAAATGTGTCTTGTGATCTATCAGTCTGTTGTCTTCCAAGACGAACATTATCTCTCTGGAAATCTTCGTTCAATTTCCTCTGTGCCTCTATTTGTGCAGTCTGCAACATAATGAGACGTTCCAACCTCTCAAACTGTTCCTGAGAGATAGGATAGGACCAGTGGGTAATGGAGGAGTAAGGAATCTAACGTGGTCTGGACGGTCCATAGGTCGGACTCTTCGTCCAGCCATCCCTAGAGAGTCTAGATCTGGTCTAGGATAAGTAGATACAGGTGTAACATACACAGTACTAGTATTAGGCTGAGTCATACTACCAGCTATACTCTGTACTATTGTCTCAGTGAGGGAAGGAGTGAGCGAGAACTGAGCTACACTAGGCTCAGACACTTCTGCCATAGTTGCTCTTTCTTCTAAGTAATCAAATAGAGTCATACTTCCTAATTGTGACACTAGGCTTTCTGAATCTGAATCATAATCAGACATCTCTGTATGAGCAGGAAACAATATATCTTTAATTAATGCTCTGACAGTTTCTGCGGTGTAATTCCTGTTATACGTCACACCGAGAAATTTGGCTACTCGCCAACACGTCTGAAGCTTTAATGTACTTAACTCAGACAAAGTCAGAGTATCAATTAACTGTTTCACTTTGGCATACATCACGAAAATAAATGTACTACGAGAGAGTGATTATGGGAAACTATAATCCTAATAGGAATTTTGGTGTTGGTCGTCTTAGAGCTAGAGCTCATCAACAGTATTTCCATCTCCTTGGATCAAGAGACTCAGTCAGGTATATACATCCACCTGGTATGTTGTACAAGACTAAACTCCAAGTCTTCAGATTAGGAAAGTACTCAAAGTGTTTGATCATAGAGTTACTAGTATGTCAAACTGGACAATTTCTCCAACACCTTGGATCAAGAGCCTCCCAGACAGGCCCCCATTTGTTACAAAAAACGCGATTCTAAAAGCTTAGAGATCTCCAGTGAATACTAGAAAGGTCTGTCCTTCTAGCATCCAGCCTGTTACTGGGTTTTCGTAACAAGTAGTCAGTATCCTTGTCCAATTATCCATTAGAATTCAGTATGATTCAATAGTGCTTTAGGATTACAACTGGTAGGCTACTAACTAGAGAAATTAAAATTTAATAAGTCTAGAGGTATATTATGTAATTAAATCAAATCAATATCAACAAAATAAGAATAATCACTTCTCTCGTTTACAGTATTATTGTGCTGAAAGCACATATCACATTATCATTCTTAAGTACCGTCTGGTACATTAACATTTAATAAGATATTACAAATATGTACAAGTAAGTTTGTGTGTAAGTGCTCTAAGTAGTTCGCTATGTCTCAAGACTCGACCCAGACTTAAACAAGTGACTGACAAAGTCCTCAAATAAACTAACTTCTTGACCAACTGGCAGTCAGAACAGTCTGCTTGAACAATAAAAAGAATGCTAAACCCAATAGCAATATAACAAGCAACTGCGACACAAAATCAGGAACAAGGAGATAATAAGACGACACTAAGTAGGGACCATCAGCAGATCCACCACCAAAGTCACAAAACTCCCATACTACTGAGTCTAAGTTCAGCATAAGAAAATCCCCGACTCTGATAATACACAGATACCAGTACAAGTTAGGTCAGAAGCTACAGCTCAGGACCTGAGTTGCTCAGAGTGTCTTTGAGACACACAACCTCAGTACAAACGTCGAAAATCACTAAGTCTATATAATGTTCGTGAACAAGTTCTACAGAAACTAACAAGAATAATGAGACGGGACAGTCTGTCCAACCACCAAGTGAGTCTAGCCCAGCTGAATACTTCAGGCGAGGTGAAGACCCCCACCCCTCGATCATGTGATTAGCTCTGTGGACAGCTGCAGCCTCGAAACAGAAGCCGGCAGTCTAATGAGCCATAAGCGATAATTACAGTAGTTGGACAATAAAGACTTGAACTGAGCACATAATATGTTACATCCTACCTAACAACGAAAGTCAAATAATTTTAAAGCAATTTATTTGATTTACTTATTATCACAAATATGAGCAATAAAAAATTATATAAAAGATAATATAAATATATACTTTATACTTGCAACCCATTCAGGGGTTGCAACAGTCTTGTATGATCTGAAGAGTTGTAGCTTAGCAGTTGGTATGGTTTAATTTCCCCTAGGAAAAAAGTGGACTGTTAATCACTACTGCATCGGCTAGCTTATCTTGCTTTGGCTTATCATCTTGGTAAGCAAAATAATTGTTCAATTGGGTATTGATGTTTATTTTCCAGTCCTTGACGGCATCTTCAACCTTCGTGTTTAGGGAAGTTATTTGATTTGTGTGACTGGCTATGACTGCTTAGAGGGGTCTTGCCAAAATCATTCATGCCAGTTTTGGTTTTTGTGTTGTTCAAGGCTGTTGATCTTATTCTCAAGGTGAAGTAACTGAGATTCATGGTTTGTTATTGTTGCGCGAAGAGCCATATTTTCAGTACGAAGATTCAAGTTATCCGCCCTTAGGGTGGTGATGTAATTCTTTAGAGTGTCAGGGGTCATTAGTCATACCTGGGAGCGTATCAGATGGGTTAAATCCCATGAAGGTAGTAGATGTAGGAGAGGGATTCAGTCACGGTTGGTGTTGTTGTAGTTTGAGTCACCTTGGTTGGTGGGTGAGGGGGGGTTGGGGCCCTGTTTGTTGTTGGTTGATGTGTTGCTCTGGGGGGTGAGGGGGATGGATGGGGGCACCGGCGTCCTGCTGGGTCGTCTTATGGAATACTAGTTGATTTCTAAGTGCTGCCTTGCTGTTCTTAGTGCTGTTTCTTCTATGAGTTGGTCTCATAGTAGTACAGGAGTTGCTGTGGTTAGATGAAGAAAACTAAATTAGTTAAGAGCTTAGAGCGGGTAGTTCGTCTGGTAGTGGGGCTATGCTTGGAATTTGTGGGGCAATCGTTGCTTTAATCGGTAATTTCTCGGTTTGTAGGTATCACTGTTGTTTATTTTGGGTCATGCTGGGTTCTACGTACATTAGTGCAGTTACGATTGCAATTAGGCCATCATAGAAGCGTTGATGGGCTCTGGCTGGTGAAAACAATGACAGCTTGCCGCCTCTGCTGCTGCTGCACCCAAATTTACCTGAGGTTATGTAGATAGGGTGAAATTATGTTAGTACAGGTCGGCCATCACTAGTCTGGCATCATTGAGACCTGTAGTGTGCTGGATTAGTGAGTTTGTCGGATTACAGAGTGGTTAGGTTAGAATACACTTGATTAACCTATCAGTAGAGATTTTCTGATACATCTTCCTCATTTTCATCACTGCTTTCTCCTCCACTGGTTTGCTGTTGTGAATTTACAACCTTCTGCACAATATTTTAGTATAATGATGAAATTTGAAATTATGCTAGCTGAAATTAGTGCTGGATTACTGATGGAACTGGATAACTGATTGCCGGATTAATGATGGCCGACCTGTGGTAATGTTAGTAAGAAAGTTTTGCTGTAGTTTCTAGTGGTTAAAGGCCTAGTTGATCATTTCACAGTACTGCACAATATTTAGTCTAAATTTGTTTTTTAGTAAATGTGGTATATTTCAGATTGGTGAAGGATGGGTATTGACTGGGAGTACCTCCGTGGGGTCACTGGGGATTCAGGGGCCTGGGGTGAACCGGATCTAGAGAAGCTCTATCATGTAAGTGAATAAATATGACTTAGAATATGTACTTTGGTGATAGTGACTTGTGTTAGGTAGAGCCAAGCTTCAAAATGAGCCTAGGTAGAATAGCAGCTCTTAAACTGTAAGATTAATTTAGTGTCAGAAAGAATGAAATCTGATTTGTTTATTTGTAAGTAAATTACCAAGGTCACTGTTATTTGTTGAAGGGGAGTTTTTTAGTCACCATGGTAAATGTTACACGAGGTGTGTCTTAATAGTATCATGAGCCACCCAGTATTACTGCTTTTTACTCTGGAGTAGATATTTGAGACACTTGGGCAATATTTGGGACTCTTTATTCTGGAAATGTTTTACCACCCAGTGGCTTCATCAGTCCAGTACAGAGAAGAATGGTGGAAAGTGAGGAGGAGTTTGAGGTAATCAGTTCCTCAGCCTTGAGTCGATGTGTTTAGTTCATCAATCTTGATAAAAGTACAGCATATCTGCATAGGAGGAGCTCATATACTGCAGGCAGATGAGCAAAGGTAGGTGGAGTCATCAATGTAAAAATCCACTAATGGAAGTAGGTCATGCCTATAGGTTAGGCAGGTTTTGAAGAATTCCCAGTACCTAGATTCCAAGATGTTGCTGTGTCTGACAGAATTTGTATAAATGGTTTAAAAAACCAACAAGTTAATAATTGAGACTCTTGGGCAACATTTGGGAATCTTTATTCTGGAAAAAGTTTTGCCACTCAGTGGCTTCATCAGTCCAATCCACTATTCTTCTCTGTATTGTACTAATGAAGTCACTGGGTGGTGAAATGTTCCCAGAAAATTGATTTCCAAATGTTGCCCAAGTGTCTCAGTTATCAACTTGTCAGTTTTCTAAACCATTTATACTAACCCTGGAGTGTTAACTGTCAAGGGAGCAAAGAATTCTATTATACTGTATAATAGAATTCTATTATACTGAAGTATTATCACAATATCCTTCCTCCTCCCATTTTGGTATTTTAGGGCAGTGGTTCTTAACCATGTTTTGGGTCATGCCTCCTATTGCAGTTGGTCCTCACCTTCATGCCTTCTCCATTCTTCATGTAAAGTCTAAATGCAAAAATTAAAGTCCTCCTTAATTAATAAGAAAACTGATAAACTAGACTTCATTCATAACATTATTACAGCAGGCATCTGCAGAGACAAAGCCTGGCTTTGTCTTTGTCAAATGCTCCAAACTTCAGAACACTCATGACTTGACTGATTTTTATCTCCTCTCCTTTCCTATAGTTTCTTTGCTTTTCCCTTCTTCTGCCTAGGTGAGTTCTGTCCTACGAATTTTTCCGTGTTTTTAGTCCCACCTTGTGGGTCATTAGCTCTTCTACAGTGCTTCTTTTTCTTCTTGTTTCTCTTGTCCTTAGACTACTCCACTACTACTATAAACTATTGCCTTGCTACACTCCATTCTGACTCTTGTGTCAATATGACTACTCCCTTCTTATTACCACTACCACTATTGCATTTCTTACTACTATTACTTCCACTACCACACTACATCTACCACTGCTTTTACCTTTATACTACTGCCTCCTCTCATCTACAGGCCCCGAGCTCCACTCATAAATATAATGGTGCCCTTCGCTTTACGCTTCTGTGTGACTAGTCAGTGTTCCAGGTCAGCCCAGAACATCATAAGTTTCTTTCTCCTAAGTTCTAGTTATTTATGTAAAGGGAAGGGAGAGAATAAATCTTTTTTCTAATTTTCATATTATATGCGTTTTGATTGTGTAAATGAATCCTGCAGAAATTTTCAGCAGTTAAAATATTTAAAACATTTTATTTAAAATTAATGCTCTTAATATTTTTTAAATCTTGCATCACTTCTTGTTTTGTTCAGACTCTTGAGGGAATTACCAAAGTGGAGCCTCAGGACAGGACTGTTAAGAAGTTAGAAATGCTCTTCACTCACACCCAAGCAGTGATGATGGCCAAACATGCTCAGGTAAATTACTGCCATATATCGTATGTTTCATAATTTTTGTAAAAATAACAAGTATATACTAATCTTTCTGGTTAGTACATACATACAACATTAGAAATTTTAATGTTCAAGACTCCTTCAGCAAACTTTCTTTAGGGAAGGAAACACAAGTTGCTATTAGAGTTTCTATGTAAGGTAGGTATTTTTATTTTTTTATTTTTCTTGGAGAGTTTATCTTAATACCATAGTTGTAATTTTAATTTGCATTTTAAATTTTTTTCATGAACACACTGATTCAGTGGGGTGAAGCAGCACCATACATAACACACTTCCTCATTCTCACCACAATCTTCATTTCACACAACTACATACATACCCTCCTGCCCTCCCTCTTTTTTTTTTTCTTACAGGGATATGTTATGAATTTATACCTTTATTTACAAACTAGGAGTTTTTCCTACGTCATCTCTTTTGAAAGGCTTACCTAGCATTTATGTTATGAAACATACAAATAGAAAACAAGTTTAAATTTGGGGAAGCAAGCTGTGGGCCCAGAGATTTCATTTGGGCATCTTACTTTATTTCATTGATGTTATGCTATACAAACATGCCCCAGACTTTCAGTCATTCTAGGAATAAATTATTCTCATATGAAATAATGTTCCTGAAAAGGGTACAGCCGGAATGTAGTGCTGTTTGCTGTCTGTTTTGTGGTATAAAAGCTGCTCTTCTGTCTGCCCCAGTGGAGTCAATTGTTGAACCTTAGTAATACAGTGGACCCTCAGTTATCGGCCGTATTCCGTTCCAGAAGGTCGGCCGATAACCGAAATGGCAAGGAAAAAAAAACCGAATTAATATTTCCCATAAGAATTAATGGAAATACAATTAATCTGTTCCAGACAAAAATATTCACAAAAAATAATTTTTTTAGCAATTATGTAAAGTATTACATACCTTTATTGAAGGCTAATGCTGGCTTCTGGAAGATAGGGAAGGGGAAAGGGGAGTGGAGTTAGTGTTTGGAAGGGGAATCCCCCTCCATAAAGACCTTAGGTAGAAAAGCTTTCTCTGGGGTTACTTCCCTTCGTTGTCTTTTAATGCCACTAGGACCAGCCCCTTGAGAGTCACTGGACCCCTGTCTCACAACAAATCTGTCCATAGAGGCCTGTTTCTTGCATCTCTAAGATTTCTCTGAAGTGGGACAGGGTTTTGTCACTGAACATGTTGCAGATATGGCTTGTTTCAGCTTGGTCAGGGTGGTGTTTCTCTGCAAGAGCTTGCACCCTAGTCCACATTGCACACACCTCTTTAATCTCTGTCATTTACTGCTACAGTACATTCATTACTTACCTTAAAATATTTGTAGTCTTAATGTAGGGCAAGAGGTGAGTAGTATTTATTTGTAGGAAGTCAGTGTAGGTAGCGGTAGATGTAGGTACAGTACACATATGTAGCCCCATCCCCCTGGGCTACACTACACAGCCATGATAAATTAGACACATGTGCAACTCTTGGGTATCTTTATTGAGGAAACGTTTTGCCACACAGTGGCTTCATGAAGTCACTGTGTGGCGAAACGTTTCCTCAATAAAGATACCCAAGAGTTGCACATGTGTCTAATTTATCAACATGTCGGTTCTCTGAACCATTCATCTACAAACTACACAGCCATATTACTATGTTCACTGAGTTTAATCGTTTCTAACAACTACCTTTAGATGCCATCATAAACAAAGGGAGAAGTAATGAATAATTCATGCCGAGAATTGTAAAACGCACATGAAGGGCGGTTACTGCACCACTTGCCAGATTCACAGTTTTCTCTAACATTGCATCAGAGAAAACGTAATGTTTACTCTCCATCCGACTCTCCGCTCGAGAGCATATTAACATTGCATGTTTATATGCTATGTTTATATGCTATACGATATGTAATGTGTTTCTTATATAATTTTGAAGAAAATATCATAGATGGATTAATGAAAATGTCTATATTAATGTAAAATAAGACATTTAATGTGCCAAAGAGTGATTATTAAATATACATCACATATATAAACATTGCATGTTTATATGCTATGTAATGTGTTTCTTATATAATTTTGAAGAAGATATAAAAATGGATTAATGAAAATGTCTATATTAATGTAAAATAAGACATTTAATGTGCAAAGAGTGATTATTAAATAAACATCACATATAATAAACATTGCATGTTTATTTTACTATGTAACGTGTTTCTTATATAATTTTGAAGAGATATAATAGATGGATTAATGAAAATGTCTATATTAATGTAAAATAAGACATTTAAAAGTACCAGTGGTTATTATTAATATACATCACATATAAACATGCATGTTTTTATATACTATGTAACGTGTTGCTTTGGGCCATGGGTTGCTTATTTGCAGTTGCACTCAATCGATAACCACAAAAATAACAATGGATTATAGCAAAATGTTTGGATGAATGAACAGAAGCTTCCTCACTCGCCCAGAGGACAAAAGCCTAACTAACGCCCAAGTGGCCCAGTCGCTTGGGCACATCTCAAACAACCGATAACCAAATTAAACGGTCGATAACCGGGTGCTGAAAAAACCGGCCAATAACCGAGTTGGCCGATAACTGAATCGGCCTATAACCGGTTGGCTTTGTCATGACAGTAAGTACCCCGATCTTACGTATTGAAGGCTGTGTTGAAATGACCAGGGTTGTTGTGGGTAACTCCTCAGGTAGTTACCCATTTACCCACCTGGGGGGGGTTTTTTGTTTAAAAACCCAGTCCTGACCCGACACTTTAGCTCAAAAGTATTATTTATTATGGTTTTTTCTACAGTTATAGTAATTTAGCTCTTAATCTTTTATTGATTTTTTATAGGTTGGTTAAAAAATAAAGTATAGAGGAACCTTGGTTTTTTGAATTTAATTCATTCCAGATGTCAAATTTTAAACTAAAGCAATTTTTTCCCACAAAGAATAATGTAAATAGAATTAATTCCATTCAAGACCCAAAAGACAATATTTTTAATAAATTAATAATGTACTAACTAAATACATAAAAACAATGTATAAAAATTTTACAGCACAGGGGAAACCGTTTAAAAAAGAATACTAAATTAAAAAAATTTTTAGAATACAGTGGACCCTCGACTAACGCCTATTAATCGTTCCTGAGAGCTCATCGTTAGTCAAAATTATCGTTAGTCAGTTAATTTTTCCCCCAAAAAAAATAATGGAATCAAAATAATCCGTGTAGGACTCCCCAAGTATGAAAAAAAATTGTTTTACCACATGAAATATTAATTTTAAATGTTAAATGTTGATGAAGATAGGGAAGCTTTGATTTTGTGTATGGGGAAAGGGGGAAAATAACATCTTGTGGAGTGAGGAAGACCCAGTTGTGGTGTGGGGGAAGTTCTGAGGCAGTGGAAAAATGAAAGGGGGTAAGGAGTGGGATTGATGGGATAAAGATGAAATGTTTTAAAAGCGGGGTGGGGTTAGTTTTGGAGTGGTTGGTGCATTATTTAATAAATGTATGGAAGAGGTAAGGTTAGGGTTTGGGCAGAGAGATGCATAGTTCCTTTGTAAAAGGCAAAGGGGCCCAAAAGAGAGTGAAAAAAATTTTGGGGGGATAAGTTTTTGAGTATCCTGGTAAAGTGATGGTAGGTTTTTTTGAAAAAATTAAGAGAAAGACGGAGAATAGGATTTGGAAAAGGTGTATGACGGGGTGGATGGGGGCAATGTGGCAGATGTTGCAGGTGATGGTGTAGGAGGTAGGTTACTGAAAGCCGTGAAGGGTTTTTACGAGGTAGGAGGTCAAGTTAGGTAGTAGGAAAAAGGGAAATTATTTCCCAGTAAAAGTAGGCCTTCGACAAGGATGTGTGATGTCACCCTGGTTGTTTAATATATTTATAGTGGGGGGTTTTTTTAGAGAAATAAAAGCGAGGGTTTGGCAAGAGGCGTGGAGTTAAAAGATAAAAAATCAACATAAAGTGGGAGTTGTCCAGTTGCTCTTTGCGATGACACTGGTCTTTGGGGGATTTGAAAAGAAGTTGCAGAGATTGGGGATGAATTGGTAGGGTGGCAAAAGAAGAAAATTAAAAAAGGGTACAGGAAAGAGTAAGGTTATGAGGATAACAAAAAGATTTTGGGGAGAAAAATTGGATATCAGATTGGAGGGAGAGGGGGTATGGGGGAGGTGAAAGTTTCAGAATTTGGGAGTGGACGTTCAGGGATGGGTCTATGAAGGATGGGTGATCTAGAATTTTTTGGGGGGAAAAGGGTGGTGGGATTAGGAGTCTGTGGGACAAAAAATTTGTCCCTTTGGGGGCAAAAAAGGGGAATGTATGGGATATGTTTTCAAAGCTTTATTGGGGTGAAGCATGGGGTTTATGAATGTTGCAGTGAGGAGAAGGGTGGAGGCAGTGGAGTTTTTATTT